GTAGTAGTAGTGGAGTGTGCTTGCACCATGATCGGCAAAGGAGGGCCAAGTGATGCGTCCTTTTGGGCATTTTGGTTAGACCAAAACGGCACGGCATTTTGCTTCCCCGAAACGACCAAAACGACCAACATGAACAAAAGGACCGGCCCCCTAAACAAGCAAAACGACCAAAATGACCAAAACCACCATAATGTACAAACTGACCGCTTATAACAGCAGTTCTGTAACGCCGCTTCAATGTAATAGTAGTAGTAGTCGACGGCGACGACCACTGCCACCACCACCACCACCACTGCCGCCCTAGCACTAGTCGTTAGACAAGCAGTAGCTGCGACTAGTGCCAAGAGATGGAGCAGGAAGAGGTACTTGGAGCAGGAAGAGGAGTTGTCAAGTCATCGTCCCTCCGTATCAGAAGGATGAATCTATCAGTGGTTACCGAGGCTTCGTTCGCATAAGGCCCGCACCTCAAGGCATCTCTCGTACATCGCATATTGCCTCAGGGCCGGATCAGGGCTTAGGGTTTAACGGTTTGAAGGATGTGGGTACAGGGATTCAGGCTGACTGTTTCACCAAATCTTTATCTGGCGAGTTGCAGCTCTCCGCGCAGGGGCTTGGACAGTAGCTCCAGCAGTGCAACCTGGGAATCCGCCAGCCGTGCCTGGTCAAGCAGAGTGTTAACGGATTATGGGAGTTTAGGTGTCGGAACATAGCAGCAACCAAGATGCCAAAATATGCCCTCGATCATATGTACTTAGCATTGAGGTTTAGAGGGCCGTACTTCCCTGCTCTGCGGCCTGGCGAAGGCTGTAGGCATCCTGTAGGAAGCCAGTAATCCGCAGGGAGAGGTCCTCGTTGATGTGATGCTGATTCAAGTACTTCCTGCCGGACAGGGTTTAGGGTTCAGGGCTTTGTGTCCTGACAGAAGCGGATGCAGCAAAGACTCTACGCCGTCTACTTCGTACTCATAGAAATCCTTGAACCTTGCTCCCTGTTCTCTTCAGTAGACCTACATGAGCAGCCAAAAGCACTCATCAAACATCCGCAAAACACAAAACAAGCGCCAAAGTGTCATCTGAAGATAAAACGGCCACTGCAAGCATCGTCCGTCCTCAGCTGGCGAAACTGGTGTTTGCGCTCCTCGGAAGCCTTGTTCAGCTGGTTCGTGAGGCTCGTGATGGCACCTGGGACTGGGGTTGAGGGTGCGCAAGGTTTGGAATCAGCGTTTATAGGGCTCAAGGCTCATAGCACACCCGAACACGTTGTCACCAATCATTGCCAGCACACCGAGAAGTGTGGAGAAGACGACCAGCGCCAGGAACGCAACCTCGCAAACAAGCTTGGCTCACGACGCTTTAAAAATGCAACATGCATTGAAATGCGAAGCCTCGAAAAAACAAGTCCAAAGCTCGTGCGCACAGCTCCGGCAATTGTGTAACTGCTAGACAACAGCTTTGGCCCTTTGAGTTGTCAGAGGTATGGCAAAGGGTAGGAAATCGATTCATGCTGTGCTGTGGGTGGTACGTGTGGCGCATGTGCAACCCGCGTGGTGGAGGCGGCTGAACCACTCCGTGATTACATTCAAAACATGTTTGCGCGGTTGGCTTCAATGCTGGTATTCTGGGGACTATCTCTTGATGGTATTGGGTTCAGAACGCGAATTGATGTGAACACGCATGAGATGTTGCGAATTTCCACTGAGAGTACACATCGTTAGGAAAGCTTTTGCTTAAAATGCTCAGCGAGGCAGAGTGATCCCAGGGTTAGTCAATGGCCTCAAGAGGGTATCCAAACACAAATCTCGATGGCCTTTACAACGAGGAGCAGAAGTCACATACTGATTCTCACGCAACACAACATAACCTCGCACGGGTGAATGCCAGATACATAATCAGGGATCTTGGACTCGCATTTCTGGATCTGGCAGTGCTATTTCTGCATGCCCATTTGCTCCAAGCATTGCATGTACATGTGTATGAACACATGCCCATGCCTTTTTGCGGGTAACTGGCTCGTAAAATTGTATACGAATATACACAGGCGTGTATTTTATATATATATATATATTTCATACATATGTATCTACGTGCATATATATATATACACACACATACCTACGTACACACAAAATACACATATACAGACAGATCCATACACATATACGTATAGAGTCTTTTCTTTACGACTTACTTACCATGTCTTGAGTGCGAGAAAGGAGACTGCGAGAGAGAAGGGGGGAGAGAGAGAGAGAGGTAAGTTATGGAGCCGCGGAAGTTGGGGAAGGCTTCTTTCTTTGAGGCAGCGCGGGCTTCAGAAAAGCCTCTGTCTAGATGTCCAACTTTGAAAAAACCCTCGGAAATCGGATGTCCAAGCGGCAATGAGTCCAAAGACACGCTCCAGCGTCGTGCTCCCCTAGCAGCAAAGTAGGATAAAAAGTCTGCACAGCTCCAGTCGAGCCATCGAGTGAGAACTGATCTGCCCAAACAGGAAATGTTAGAATTCAAGAGTCGAGCAAACCTTGCGAGCTGCACGGGCCTGCAGTCTTTAGCGATATTGTCCCTATGCATCAGATCATGCCGCATCCAAGATGCTTCAATGCCAGTGGATCCAAAGCCCAGCTGGCAAAACATCCAGTGCAAAGCTGTGGTATACCTTGCAGCAGCTCCACACCCCAAACTAGCGGTACATGACCTCTATATGGATGCAAATGAGTCGAGGCTGCCTCGGGCCACATGTTTGGTGTCGCATCAAGGGGCGTTTCAACTTTCCGAAGCTCTCAATTACATCACGCTGACCCTGAGCACGTCACCTCGCCTGTAGTCCATGTTTTTCTCGGAAAACTCGAATTGGCTCACCCAGCCTGTCCGGTGGAATGAGGGTTTCAGGTGACTGATTACGGAGGCTACGCATAGCAGTCTTTCTGGTGTAGGATCAGGACAATGCAACCCCAAGCCCTGGACTTGACCGTCACAGCGCCGCCACAAACCGACCTTTGTCTGAGACCACGCCAACTTTGTACCAGATGCAGGCCTCAATAGTCAGTTGACATAGAGTGGGTCGTGTTCTGATAATAGAACTCTCTTGAAGGTGCCGCAAGGTTTTGCGGCTTGGAGGTTGCAAACGGCTAAACCGCTTGGCTTGGAACGCACTTGCACACACAGAATGGAAGGCCGCGAACGACCGTAATATCTCTGTGCAGGGGAAAAGTTCAAAAAACCTAAAGCCTGAAACCCTAACCTAGGAAAGCCTGAACTCAAACCAAAAGCACACAGACCCTGTAAGGTCGTCCAAAAGATCTTGTACGTGTATATATATGTATATATACACTTACTTGGAACTTGGTCAGCCCACGCTTTGGCGCAAACGAAGTACTGCAGACAGGGTGCCATCACATGCTGCATAAGAAGTATCCTGGGCATTACATACACAACGGGCTTAATGGGAGTGTGGTTGTGGGATTTATGGCGTTGGTGAGGATTCGGGCTTGCATCCACTGGAACTGCGCGCGCAGCCCATGCGTTGAGCTCTGCTGCAGACATGATGCTGGCACGAGAGGAGAAAGATTTTGGCTTTGGCGATTGCGGTGTCCGAGTTGAGCCTGCGGATGAGAGACCTCGAGTTCGTGCTGCACACAAAGACTTCTAGCGGAATTCCATCAGAGTGCGAAGTCCATGTAGCTGCTGCACAGCGGCTGCGCAATTCCATTGAGCTTCGCAAAGCGCACCAGACGCAGCAAAAACTTGATGATTACCACATAGTAGAGATCCTGAGGTCTTGCAGGTGCTTATCCGCCGATATACCAGCTATATGCTTCACATAAGCATTGGCACATTGCAGCTGCTGCCATGGAATTTGATCGGACGATGGACGCTGGTGAAGTTAACCTCGGAGAGGACGGCCACTGCGTAGGAGGCCCGGGAGTCTAAGTACAAGTCGGCCAAGACATTCCTCGGTGCGCGCGAGAATTGCAGGGACAAAAAGGGACAAGACAGCCTTCTACATCGGCCCCTCCATTCCAAAGTTTGTGAAAAGCGAAGCGGCGAAAAATCGCAAAGGAACCATCCTCAGTTCGAGAGCGGAGGGAGGAGGGAGCAGGGTGATGGCAGCAGCTAGACCCAGCCTCTGAGGTAGCGCTGGGCAATCTTCCTGGCATCCTTGACAGCATAGCCGCGCATGTAGAAGCACGTTCGAAAGTGGACGATAATGTCCAAATTCCAGAAGATCCTCGATACGGAAATGCATGCAACTGTGTGTGTGGTGGCCATGTCTGGCAAAACGTGGCACTCCACCCCTGCAGCCATGGGTGCTGGATGATCCATGAGAGGCCGATGAGAAACGGAGTAGGCACCATTGCATCAAAGACGTGCAGCGGCAGCAGAATCCTAGGCACGAAGGCTGCTGTTCCCAGGTCAAAGGCCCCGAAGCTGGCATGAAAGATAACGGGATAGAAGCACTGCTAGTAAGTGCAAGAAACCTGATCACGACAGAATCGAAGTTCAGTATAATTAATTAACAAGAACCAACTCAAAAATACCACCCTAGACCCTAAACCGGGCTGCTCATGTACCAAGGGGCAGCTCCACCGTTAGGATGAGGATGTTGATGAAATCCCAAGTCGTCCTGTCCCGTCCCAGGCCGCGCAATGGGTTTGGGAGTTGATAAGGCGAATATCCTAAACTCCAAACCACAGACCCCAACAACAGCAATCAACGGAAACAGTGGCCACCAGCTAGGTTTAGAGTTTGTAGATATGTGAGATTTGGCTCCTGCAAATTTTAAGCTCGGCTTTCTTTTCAGGCACATGTCGGTTGCCCTGAGATTGGCAAAGAGTGCATTCAAGGGGTCGGATTTAAGAAACACATGCATCATGCATCAGACTGCCCCGCAATTGAACACCACAAAGGATCTTCTTTCGGGATTGCGGATGTGCGAAAAACAACGGATGTGCGAAAAACAACGTGCAGCCTATGAGGACAAGCTCAACCAGACTACTGTGATGAATGGGATCGTGCCCGACAGCGCAAACAGAACCGACACAGGCAAGATCCGCATGATGGGTTTCAGAGGTGCCCGCACCTGAAGAAGCCAGTGGGCATGAACACGAGCCTGAAGCAGCATGCAAAGCTTTTGTGCAGGAACTTGAAGTCAGGTGTAGGGTGAGGGGTTGAAGGCTTCCTAAGCCTAAGTCACTCTGAATAGAATTGAATATAAGTGATCAAGCGAATATGGTCATCTGACACTCCCCCTCCCTTGTGCCTTACAACCCTGGGTACCCAATGATGTAGCCAGGCAGCTGAGGCAATAGGTCGGATAGGGAACTGAGTCTGCTAGTCGACCGTCGATTCCTCGTCGCACACAGTTGGTGATCCAGATCGCAGAACAAATCTCATGTACACACACACACACGTGCACACTTGTATGCCAGTCATCCTTACCTAGATGGATGCTGTTTGTGCTAGATTGTTACATCACTTCTTCTCAATATTTTTGCACTCATTTAAACTTGGCAGGTACGTTCACAGGCGTCCCTGTGAATATCCTGAGGTCATACGAGGAGCTTCGTTGGATGGAGCCTCGTATGCCTCCTCCATCCCCCTGCTTTCAGTAAAGGACTTGTACTGCCTACATCCTTCAAAACAGAAGTTGCACACACGCGTAACCGGCCAAGCCGGTAAACAAACATGGGCGCACTCCCTTGCAGACGGTAACGCAAACATGAGCGCACTCCCTTCCGGCAAGACAAACATGGGCGCACTCCCTTGCAGACGTGCAACAACAACAAGGTCACGCCACCGTAACGGATCCCAGGTTTGTTTGGGGTTCGGACCTCGAAAACGGCGCTCCCACCGACAAAGTTGGACTTGGCGGGGGTGGGGGGG